TTCTTGATGCACAAATTGTTTTAGCAAATGGAACAGTAGTTAATAATGTAAAAGAATATCCTGAACTTCTCTGGACTATGCGAGGTGCAGGGAATGCAGGCTATGGTATTGTTACAACTTCAACCATCAAGATACACCCTGTACAAAAGATCGTAACTCGGTTTAATTTTACATATGATTTTGACCAGACATCATCAATTCTCTCAGTAATAAATCAATTGGGGAATAGTTATTTTCATCAAAATTTAACATTTGCAACATCAATCACTAAACTCCCAGAATTATCTGTCGATGTTTTTGGGATTTATTTAGGATCTGCAGCTGAGTTGCAACCTTATATACAAGATTTTATTAATTTATCTAAACCTAAAATGGAGTCGTATATTGAAGGCGATTTTTACGAGTTGATTACTTATTACGCAAATTCAACTAAGGGTGTGGGAAATTTTAAAGTAAAATCATTCTTTATGAATTCTGATGGGTTATCTATTGAAGGAGCTAAATATCTAATGAACTTTATAGAAGGTTTCAAGTGTGATTTAAGAATAGAGATGTTACTACTTGGTGGAGAAGTTAATAAGGTTAGGAGAAACGAAACAGCATTCGTCCATAGGGGTCATATGAATCATATGGAAATTAAAGTAATAGAGCCTTCTGAAATGTGTTTACGAGATTTAAAAATTTTTTCTACCCATTTTCAACGAAAGTATACAAATTATGAAAGTTATCAAAATTTAATTGATAGACAGTTGGATAACTGGCAATGTAGATACTATAGAGAAAATTTCGAAAAACTAGTGGAAATTAAACAAAAATATGATCCTTATAATTTATTTCGTTGGAATCAAAGTATACCTACTAATACTGAAATTTCATGTTATTAAGAATAGTCGTTAGTGTACTATTTGTAAATTTTAGGTTTTCTTTTTTATATTGTGCCTCGTTGAGAGGAAAACCATTATTTAATATATTATACTAGCTACAATCCAGACCAGATAGTTGTTAATAATTTTATTTAACCATGTAATCAACATACTAATAATCAGGTTATTTATAAATAAATTAATGATAAGTAAACTTTATTGTACATAAAATTAAATTTATAATAATTTTGAATAATCAATGATTTGAATATTTTTTGAAATAATCGGTTAATTCAAAAAAAAAAGTTACTTAAAAAAGTAACAAAAAAAAACATTCAAATACCGAAATAAACAGGCATGTTAAAATCTTGTTACTATCAATGCTTTACATAAAAAATGTATAATTTGATAAAATTTCTTTGAATTGCTGCATCGATATAAATTTCAAGATTTTTTAATTTCCAAATTAAATTTAACAAATGAAAAATTACAGAAATTACTGCAAAATAAATAACTGAAATTACAGTGAATTGGATTTTCTAAAAACTTGAAAAACTTCATAATCATCTACAGAAAAAACATCACTGCTTTGTCGAATTGATTTTTCATAACTCCCTTTTCTACATCTACTTTTCTCATTATCCTTTGTTTCACCACAAATTTTTAAATCATTTTTTCCAAAACCTGGGCCTGTGTATCTGTTTTGTCTAATTGCATGTTCAGTGTCAATTACTTTACTAACTATTGAATTAACTGGATTTTGAAGATTTAAAGAAAATATAAAACTTGTTGAAGCAGAATGATAAGTATTTTTAGCAGTTGCTTTACACCAATCAATTGGATTGTAACCGCCAATAATTTCGCCAGTATCTTTAATACGAATGATAACTAATGTTGGACCTTTATCATCACAGCGGGCATGAAATTTTTTGGAATTAGAACCATGTCTTGAAGCACGTTGTAGTAAATTGAAGGTATAAAAAGTATTTTGATCTAAATCGCTTATTTCATTAATCCATTTTACTATCAATATAATGTGATTTTGTTCAATTATATTTGATTGAATTGTGAGTTGTCGTGTAAAAGTCGGGATAGAGTCAGGAGCAGAAGTAGATGTGGAAGTATGTATATATGTAGGTGTGGGAGTAGGTTTGAAAGTAGGTGAGGAAATGGGTGAAGTGGCAGGTGTGAAAGTAGAAGTAATTGCAGCAGAAGCAGAAGTAGATTTTGTGGATTTAAATTCTGTAGTATTTGTTGGTTTAGAAGTTGTAACTGCAGTAACTGCAGTAGATTTGACTCTATTAGACTCGAAATTGACTTCTACAGATATCGGTAATTTGGCACCAGATGTAAGTGTTGCAGATATTTTAGAAATGTTTGAAGGAGAGGGAGGTTTAGTTGTAATGTTTGATTCTTGAAATTCATCCAAATGTGTTTCTAAAAGTTGAATGTAAAAATCGGGATCAAAAGCATGTCGGAATGGGCGAATTTTTTGAGCAAAATCTTTTTTGCTAACTAGTTTAAAATTAATATATGAAATGAATGGTTCAATCGATTTTTTTAAAATTGCAAAATGCTCAGCAGTATAATGAAAAACATCTGATGGTAAAGAACCAGATTGCACGGTTGACCATTTAAGAAGTTTTTCCCATAATTCAATATCAGTAATATTATTTGGACGGTTAATGTAAAAATGAAGAAACTCGTCCCTTTGAAGTGTAATAAAATTATTACTCTTGAAAATAGTCACATCTTGTGAGATGATTCTTCTCCATAACGCTGCTAAATTTTTAAAATTTGACAATCCTTTTCTATTGATGAGAGAAATATGCTTCTTTACAAGGTCTTTTTGACCAACAATGTACGTTTCAATATAATTACATAGTTCTTTAAGGCGGAGTTCATGAGCACCCCATAAAAGGATGATGACGTCAGAAAAATCAACATCAGTAAGATCAATAGTACCATCATAAATATATCTAAGACAAAAAAAAATTTTTTAATAACTTTGAATAAATCACTGAAATAAATGACTGGTGATTTTTTTACCTGAAAAAAATTTCGAATAACTCTGGTGTAATATTAGGTTTATCAAATAATATAACCGTTCCAAATTCTATTTTATCACCATACTTTGACAGTACTTCTTGAAAATAAGGTGAACGTGTTCGCAAGATTAAAGAATGTGCATAAAAATATTCAGTATTAGGTTTTTCGCCAACCTGAATTGAGATATCGGCAAATTTTGAACTTTCGACTAGATTTTTATAATCAAGGGACAATGCCTTCAATAAATCGACAGACATATTATTATTATTATTATTTTATATATAATGGAATATGATGGAAAATTAGAGAAATTTGTAACGTTATGAGGTTGAGTTGATGTATAGTTTTATAACCTTTTTTGACATTGTTTCCTGAATTAAAAGTAGTACATACTGTAGATTTGATAATGCGAATATAGAAATGATTTTCACAATGTTCATTCATGCGTGCGTACGTACGGACTCCCGACAAAAGTCACCAGCTTTTAAATAATCACAAAGATCTACCTAATTTATTAATGATCGTAGCCACATATGACACATCATTTTTTTATATACAAATCGGTCTTTACGCAGTAAGTAAAGTCATTTATTATGACAATTTGTATGTAATTTAAAAATTTTAGCATTTTAGGTGCTATAAATAAAAAATAAAAAAAAATTCAATTACCCAATATGTGTCCCGAATTAGCCCGACAAAGACAAAATCACGAAAATATAAAAAATGCCAATCTAAACCGGTCTTGGTGCAGTAAGTAAAAGCGTCGGAAGGACCCTAATAGCTTATGACTAACCCGAACCCTGATATTAATTAAAAATTGGAAACCCCGGAAGTGGCACGTCCTCTGCGTAAAGACCGATTTACATATCGATATCAGATTATGTGGCTACGATCATCAACAAATTAGGTAGATTGTTGTGATTATTGAAAGCCGGTGACTTTCAAATAAGTGTACTGTACGCCTTCATAAATTTTTAGCATTCTGAAACTGTATCATCAAATAATGCATCTATTAGTACTTATATATATAATTAAAACTATTTTATTATAACATTATAGGCTAGCATGGTATAATCTTTGAATTTGAACCAAATTCTAATTGATATAACTAATTGTTTTTAAGCATTTATGAAAGTAACTGAAAAATATCAAATCAAAACTTAATTTTGTATAAATTTTAATACAAATTTCTTAATAAAAATTATTAGTAAAATTGTTAAAGTTAAAATATAAAGTATTTTAAATTTAAAGGATTTAGTATTTAGTGCATGGTGCGCTGCAGTGCACCTTTATAATTTATTTACGAATTTATATATAAAACAAAAAATAACTTTTGATTTACTTTAAGGTCAAGGCGAAGTTTAAGATTTATTTAGACATTAGTATATTCAAATTTTAGTAAAGAATTTTTTTGGTAAAATTACAAGGGTTTTACAATTTATTGCATAGTGCAATATATTGCACCTTTATTTTACTATATGAAAATCATCAGTTTTATGTAATAAACATTTTTATCAAAGCAAAAAATAAATTTTTATTAATATTAGGGTTAGTGTTAAGGTTTAAGATAAGGCAAAAGCATGGGACATATCAAAATTTTATGTAAATTTTTTTTATTAAACTTCAAAAGTGGTTTTATGGACAAAATTTTTAAATAACAGAAAGAGTGCAATATACTGCACATGCAATAAATTATAAACCCAAATTTTAAAAGCAGTTTTATAGGTAAATTTTGAGATATGAGTTTTTAAAAAATTTAAAGAAAAAAAATTTATATTATACAATTATTTACAAATTTTAGTTAAATTAAAGCATGCTTTGCAGTGCATGTGTACTTTATTCTAAAATTCTATTTTAAATACTTATTTTTTTTATTATTAAGAAGTAAAACCTATATACAAGTATATAAAATACTATTTACTAAACTAATAAAGACTTATTTAACTAAAAATAATTCAATATAATTTGTTAAATAAACTAAACAAACTTAATATTTTCTTATAAAATTTTTTTTTTTTTTTTTTTGTTATGCCAAAGTAGAAACTTTATTAAGTAATAAAAATAATTACATTAAAGATTTCTAAACTACATTTGTGCTACTTATTTAAGACACCCAATGTGACATTATACCTTCATTTCTATATAACACTATTATTAATTATTTCAAATTAATTTTAAGCATAGAAAGGTTAGAAGAAACCTAAGGTGATAGTCTTGGTATTTAGTAAATACAATTAGTAAGTATATAACCTAGAATTAACCAGTTTTTAATTGATATAGTTGAATTTATAATAGGTGTATTGGTAGTATTAGAATTAAATTGAGAAGGTAGAGTTAAAGAATATATTTTTGAATGTTTAGATTTTTAGTTATATTGTGAGTTTTTTCTCATTGTTGTTGAAGAATATTATGTAGTAGTCATATATGTTGATGAAACCAATTTAAAGTAGCATTTGATAGAGTTATAAAGAAAGATGTTGTTGTTTTATGAAGTAATATTTTGACATTATCATAATGAGATATAGAGATGAGGTCTTTAATAAGATTAAGAAAATGAGAATATAGTAGAGTATTTGTTTGTTATGACAAGATAATATAGATTTTATCTGAAAGTTCAGAAGAGATATTTAATTGTTGAGTAGTATTTGAAATTAAAGTTTGAAGGATTTGTTAAAGATTATATTTTTGTTTAGGACATGTGAGAATATGTGATATATCTTCAGGAGTTTGACAATAGACACAATTTGGAGTAGTATATAAGAGTAGATATTATAGATTAAGGTTTTGCACAGTAGGTAAATTGTTATTAATAATTTTAAGGTGAAATGTATAGAATTTTTTGATCATTATTTAAAGAATTGGTAATGTTAACATTTGTTGACCATTTAATAAAGAATGGGTTTTAAAAAGATTTAAGTTGTAACCAAGAGAGAAGTGATTGTATAGTAATTGTGTTATGTAAAAATAGTCAGATTTTAGTAGGTATTATGTAGTTATGCTATTTAAAGTGATCAAAAAGTAATGTTGTGAAGTTGAATATAATTAAGTGTTTAGAGGTGTCTTGTTTAGCTAAGAGATCAGCTTGATTATGAAAAGAATTGTTAGAATATGATTTAACTTTGTGAAAGGAGATTTTAAAAATTTTGTTTGAATAAAATACTAAATAATAAATAAAATATCTCTGTTTTTGATATGTGAGAATTTGTATAAGGATGGAAATACTTGGATGTTTTTTAGAGCTGATAGGTTGTCAAGATGTATATTGCTTTGTGAGTTTATTGAAAGAATGAGTAGGAGGTAAATAATTACTTCAAGTTCTGCTCAAATAGAGTCAGAATATGAAGATATTACACAGTTGAATTTGATTTGAGTATTATGTTCAGAGATCTATCCAATACCAATTTTTGGATATAGAGTTTGTGCATCAATAATTAAAGCATCTGTGTAGAAATGTGTATTATTTGGAAGGTTTTTAGCTAATAGAAATAGGTTAGTAAGTTGGTTTTGGTATTGAGAGAAGGATATGTTTTTTTGGATTATTTGAATTTCTGTATTGGGAATGTAAATCGTTGGTAATTGGGGTAATATTAGAATTGAAGTTACATGTTGTTGAACATTAATAAGTATATGAATTTCATGATTGTCAATGTAGAGTAAATAGTTGTTATTCTTTTTTAATGATTTAACATGAGAAATGTTAATATAAATTTGAAAAATTGGTATAGATAAGTTAGTAGGAGTAAGGAATATTAATTTAGAAGAGATGTTATGAAAGGAGAAGAAGTTAAGTAAATTTTTTGTGAAGAAAATTTGTGAGTTATTAAAGATAATAGACTATTTATTTAATGGTAATAAATGATAAAGAGTGATTATATCAAAGGAATTGATAAAGGTATTAATATTTGATAAGTTAAGATGTAGTCATATTTGAGAAATTGTATTGTTTTGAATAAGATTAAAAAGTTTAGTAAACCAAGATGGGTTAGGTCCATGAGTAGATTTCTTGATATGTATATATATGTTATTCTATGGAAGAATATATAAATTATCAACTGTTGTAAGTTGTTCAATAAAGAGTATTTTATTGTTTTGAAAACTATTAATTAGTGAGTAAGAATTATTAGATGGAAGAATATCATATATTGTTTTTGTAGATGTAGAAATATTAACTGATAGCAAGTTTAGTAAGTTATTAAGTAAAAGAAAGATATTAAGATTATTTAAGAGTGAGAGTTGAAAGATAAATATAAAGTTTTTTGTTTTTAATGAAAACTTAGAAATGATATTTGGAAGAAAGAAGAGTTGTCATATTTTAGTTAGCCATTTTTAATTCTGACTATGCCAATATGTTTGAGAAGAGGAGTAGTATAAAAAATGTGCTTCATTGTAGATATTGCTATTTTTTGAGTTAGATATTGAAAAGTTAGAAGTTTAAATGAAAGTGAATTAGTAAGAAGAATATTGGATGTATTTTTTGCAAGATGAAGCACTTTTTTGTTGTAATAGAGAATAAACATAAGAGTTTTTGTTATTGTGTTTTTGAAATTGACAAGATTTGTAATAAATATTCTAAAGATAGTTGTAGTATTATATTAAAGAGATTAGAAATTTGTTTAGGTATAAGTTTTTTGAATTTAATTAGAGCAAGAAAGTTTTTAATTTTGTTTTGAAGCATCTCATATGTTGGTTTAGTTGAGCCATTTCTATCAAAATAAATACTAAGATATCATATAGTTTCATAAGACTTGTGTAAAGGTATTATTTGATTATTGTAATAGAGATTTGGTATAGTAATGTTTAGTTTGTTTTTGTTTTGAGAAATATGTAAAAGGTCAGATTTGGTTGAATTAATTTCAATATTATTTAAATTATAAAGTTTTTGAGTATCATTAAGAATATTTTGAAGAGATTTAGGACTTTCATTATGCCAAACAGTGTTATTTATAAAGGCCATAGAAGGTATTATTATAGAAGATTATAGAATGTTTAAAATAATATCAAGAGGTAAAGAGAAGATAATTTTGAGTAGGTGGTTGTTGTATTTGTTATAAATAAAGGAAAAAATTGGATCATAGTAGAATTTCCAAAGTAAGGGTGAATAGGTTTCACCTTGTTCTATTTCTGATTCAATATGAACAGATGATATAAGGCCATGTGTAGTGATAATTCTTGCTTGTCAGTTTGTATAAAGTTCTGTAATAAGTTGAATTCTTTGTAAAGAAATACTAATTCTTTTACAAGTATCTTAAAGTCGAGATATGTTGATTTTATCAAAGGCTTTGAATATGTCTTGAAACATTATCCATGCTTCTTTGTTAAAATGTTTATAATATTCAATAATATTATTAAGGATTTGAATTGGAATGTATGTTGATGAGTTTTTGGTAGCTGCAAAGTTAAGATTAGAAAGAAGATTGTTTGTATTAATGATATTGTTAAGTCTTTGTATGAAAAGTTTTGTAAAACATTTTTTTATAGATTCTATAATTGAGATAAGGTGAACTTGATTGAGTGTAAAGTCCCATGAAGATTTTTTTGGAATAAGGAAGATGTTAGATGTTTTCCAATTAAATAGAATTTTTTGAAGTTAGAAACATTTGTTAATAAATAGTTTGAGAGAGATTTGGCCAGGAAAGCCAACATGTTTAATGTGTTTATAGTTGGTTTCAAGAGGTCCAGTGGCTTTTTGGAAAGGAAGATTTTGAATAATGTTTTGCCATTCTTCATCAGAGATATCATTAAATAAGTTCTGATAGTGTGGTTCAAATTCAGGATGGGGTTGGTAAAATTCATAATATTCAGAATTGGGTTGAATTTGTTGAGGTTTTTTATTAAAGTATTTAGAGAAATAAATGTAAATAGCTTGTTTAACTTGATCTTCTTCTGTCAATAAAATGTTATGATTTAATAATCTGTCAAAGAATTTTTTTAAAGAATTTTTTTGATTGTAAGTAAAAGAGTTGGTTTCGATCTTCAATTTTTTGTTGAATTTCTTTTTAGGTTTGTTGTTGGTAATAAATGTTAAGTGCTAATTTAATTTAAGTAAATTCTTGTTTAATAGTAGATTGAAGATTATCAGACATTTGAGATTGAATAATGAAATTATCGGGATATTTAGTATTATATTCATAAATAAGATTATAAAGATTTGGGAATTGTAAATTATTTTTAAGGTATTGTATTTGTTTGTATCTATAATAGAGTGAATAATATTTAAGTGGTTTATCTGATTTGATTTCATAAATAGTTTTGATTTTTTTATAAGGAATGTTTTTAGTAGCAGTTTTGGAAAGTGCTTTGAGTATTTTATTCCAAACTAGATTAAGTTTATTTTGATTAGTAATATTTGATATTTTAGTTTGAAGTTATGTGAGACTTTGTAATATTTAGTTTGAGTAATTTTCAAGGATTTCCTTAGAACAGTTTTTCTAAAAAAAGTTTTTCTTTGTATGTTGTTTGGTAGGTTTTGTTTTGTTAATAGTTATAGATATATCAAAAGTAATGATTTTGTGATCTGATTCGGATAAGATATCTTTAAGAATGTCAGTATAGTCAATTTGAGATATGCTTAAATCTGTCCATATTTGGTCAATTTTACTATTTGAGATTGAGCAAGCAAAAGTAAAGTTGTGAGTTTGAGAAAAGAAAAGTCAGTATATATCTTTGATTTAATGGCTAATTAGATATTTAAAGATTTGAGATTCTGGAATAGAAGTATTTTTAGGAGGATTTCTATCCAAATGTGAATTGGAAACACTATTAAAATTACTAAGTATTATTAGTTGATAGTTGGAGTTGTTGCAAAGTTAGATAATTTGTTCTTGAATTTCAGAATACAGTTGTTTTTTTTCTGCTGTTGGAAGGTAAATTTGGAAAATATAAATAGAATTGTGTTTAAAGTGCAAATCATGACCAATTATATGGCTATTATAGTTGTATGTTCTAGCTATGTATTTGGAAATTCTATTATGTATGAAAATACCAACATCTGCTTAATGAGAATTTTCATAAGAACTCCAGAAACTGTTATAGTTTTGGAGTTCTTTGTTAATAAATTTTTCTTCTTTTGAAGTTAGATGTGTTTCTGATAAACCAAAAATATCAAAATTATGTTGGTTGATTATGTCAATTAGTGAGAGTTTTTTTGAATGTTGAAGTAAACCATTAATGTTTAAAGAACTAATTTTTATAGAGATTGAAATAATAGGTGAGAGAGTTGTTTGTAGAGAAGGTATATTATTAGTAGTTGTAGAATTTGAGTTATATGAATTAGGAATAAACGGATTTAAATTAGTATCATTATATGTATTAAAGAAATACTATTAGAGATAGTATAAGGAGTTGAGTATCTAGGATGTGATTTAATAGGAAGGTTATTGTATAGATGATAATGTAAACTTGGAAGAAATGTATGATTAGGTAGGAGTTTATATTTTAGATTTTTATAGATATGTGTTTCTGTAAGTGTATTATTAATAGAAATTATAAAAGGTTTGTCAAAAGAGTTATTTTTTAGATGTTGGATAAAAGATAGTAGCATTTGTTTAGATGGTAGAGTTGGAAGATTATGATTGATAAGAAAGTTATTATAGCAGAGAAGGTCTTTGAAGTTAGATGAAGAGTTAGAATCCAAGGAGTAAGAAGATGTTTCTGCAAGGTTACTTACCATTTTAAGCTCAGCTCACAGAGCTGTGAAAGATACTGTAGTCTTCCCAGTACATTGGGCCTGACTGTCATTAACCTAGTCTTCTGTGTAAATTGGCTTTACTGTCCACTTACTTATATTATTCTCTTCTAAAAATGGCCTACTGTTTGTAGAATACATTATAATTTTAGAGATGGCAGTTGCTTTAATGTTACTTGCAAAAAGGTTTATTGAAAAAAAGGTTGAGAGGTAATAGGTTTAAAAAGATCAAAGTCATTAATTTTTTTAGGAGTGATATATTTGAATTCCTTAATAATAAAAGATTCAGTTTGAGAGTAATAGTCTTTATTATATTTTTTTTAGATAAAAGAAATAGAAAGATTTGTATCACTTTGTTTAAGTATTTCAAAGTAGGTAATAATTCTGGCTAGAAAATAAATGTCTGTAATTTGAATTGTAACTTTATTTAATAGCTTGGTCATAGCTTAAATTGAAGATTTTACCATTTTGAGCTGCTGCTTGAAGAAAAGCTTTAAAGTATTCATAAAAGTAGTAGGTTTAATGATTAATATTATGATTGGTTTTGTTGATTTTCATAAATTGTTTTTCAGCAAAATCAGCAAGTTCACGAAGAAATTTAATTGGAGTTGGAATTTTAAATAAGGCTGGATATTCATTATCTTTGTGGAAGATTAAGAAGTCTAAGGTAGGATGAGTCCATGCTGGCTAATTGGACCTGATAGATGGACTTAATTTGTCAGAGACAGGAGCAGGAAATTTTTTGAAGGATTGATCAAAGTAATATGTAGAGAGG